CACACACACACACACACACACACACACACACACACACACACACACACGCACGCACTCATACCACACACACACACCCTGCTTTCTTTGAGCCTCTGCAATCGTTTGATAGTCGTTTGCTCAGTCAGGTGTGAATTGTGACGATATACCCATTTGTGAAGCCAGTATTGCTGCCTGTAACACCCCCTCCCTCTCTCTCTCTCCCTCATCTCCTCTTTGTGGCGCTTTCTCTTCTCTGAGCTCCCATCGTCAGAAAGAGAGAGAGGGAGGGAGAAGTGAAAGATTGTACTGTACGGGAGAGAGATGTGGAAATTCACATGACAGCTTCCAAGCCATGGAGAATGTAGAGTTCCTCTACTGCTGAGCCTGCTAAGATGTTAAAGGCAGTCTAGATAGATAGATAGATAAATAGAAAGATCTGTGTCATAAGTTCACTGATGAGGAAGTTGAGTGAATGTGGCATCTGACATTTGACCTGACATTTCATGAAACCCCTACCATGTTACATATGGGTGGGGCCCTTAACACATCATACTAATTAATTCACTGAATGTATGTTAATGCTGTCACATTCTATTTATTCCCACTTAAAGGACAACTCCAGGTTTTCATATGATGGGCAGATAAGTATGGTACCACTTTACAATAAGACTACCCTTATAAAGGATTCATAAAGGGTTTATAATTAGGTTATTAATTAGGTTGTAAACACTTTATTAATCATTAAAAACCATTTATAAACCAGTTCTAACATAGTTTTCATACATCAACACAGGCTCACTATTTGGCTTGATGAGTAAGCCTTAAATTGGCTACCTAGCGTACTTCGTCTTCTTCATCAGCCAACATCCTTGGTATCTGTTGTTCACTGAGTTGATTCCCCCCCATCCATCTTGATGTTTCTTGGCATCTCTTTATGACCATTTATTTACGAGTTATTAACATTTATAGTTGCCAAAAGGGAGCCTTATTGTAAAGTGTAAAACACATTCCCATTTATTAATAAGTTACTACCATTTATAATAAGGCTTAGCAGTAAATGTGGGCTCACTATTTGGCAAGCAACCGGTCACAGTTGCCCTGTTTATCTCATGTCTTATAAAAGCTTATTAATGATTTATAAAGTGTTCACAACCTAATTAATAACTGAATTACAAACTATTCGTAAACCCTATATAAGGGTAGTCTTATTGTAAAGTGGTACCGTTATTTCTACTCTATTTCTTCTTGTACAGTTTTTATTGTTGTTGTGTTTTTGTTTATGTTGCATTGTTGGAGGAGCCTGTGACTTAGGAATTGCATTGCTTGACTGTAGCTGTGTATATGACAATAACACCTTTGAACTCTTGAAGCAGAGGTAAGGCTAAACCCCCTGAGTCATGGTCAGCAGGTCCTGATGAATGTGCAGAGCTGAGGATTTAAAACCGGTGCACAGGGACTGGGTTTGGTCGTTAAAAAGCAGTAGTGGAATGCAAGTTATGGGAACTAACAAAGTAGTGTTTTCATGTTGTGCTAAATATAGCTCTACTCAGTGTTTGAAGAAGTACTTGTTGGGGAAACTTCTAAAGCAATTGGAAACAGGACTCAAAGAGACACGAGGAGGGCTGGAGCTTTGATGGCAAACACTGAACGTTTATTTGGAGCTTCGGCCGGAGAATTGATAAGACATGTCACGGGCCACGGTTTGACCACACGGTTGAGATCCCACAATCAACTCTGCAAAACCCTCCTGTAGTTCCAGGTTTTAACTAGTTCAGAGTGTAATAATCAACATTGTGCAGTAGATAGACTAAACAGCTGAGGACACTGAATCACATTAGTTGTCGCTTATGGCTCAGGGTCATCTACACTCCGAGAAGGATGTGTTCCAGGTGTCCCACAACAATAACTATATCTGACAGAGAGTTGCCCGGTCATAAACTGGTAACAACAACAAAATGCTAGGGCAGCCCCTCCTTAAGGGAGGTAGCTGCTGCCCAAGGTTGGTCATCTGCGTCAGTGGGCAAAAGGTAAACATGTATGCAGAATTATTCCCTGACAGTACTTAGATCTTTTATTTAAGTAAAAGTACAAATACTATGGTCTAAATATACCCATTTACAAGTTAAAGTCCTGATTTCCAAACCTTACTCAAGTGTCAAGTAGAATTACAAACATATCTTTTCCCAGTATTTTATTATTATGGTTATTTTATTATACTGTTTTTTAACTTCTAAAAGCATTTTAGTATTGTATTTTATTTTTCTCCCCCCAGCAAAAACACCTCATTGGACTCCTTTGTTTACTTCGAGAACATAGTGACCTCACTATTTAACACTTGCACTCCTATTGGCTAGCAGTCCAAGACATTGTACATGATAGGCTAAGGTGCGGGACATCTCTAAGTGGTTGACCAATCACAACAGAGGTGGCCAGCTAACCAATCAGAGCAGACTGGACTCTGGTTTCAGACAGAGGGTGAAAAGAGGTGCTGCAGCTCAGGCAGTATGATAAAAGTAAAGAGCTTTTTGAACATTAAAGTATGGAGACATGTCACAGTAGAGACACTAAATACACATTTGAACATGAAAATGAGCATAATATGTTAATTAGACTTTATTTGTACTGCATTTACAGCTTGTGAATCTCACAAAGGTATCAATAATGTGCAATGTATCTCTATTAATCCCTTCTACTAATCTATTTCTCTTATTTAGGTTGATTGTATTTTGTATTTTTGATCCGAATCTTCAATGTGATTGAGGTGATCAAATAGATGTAATAGAGTAAAAATATTCCCTCTGAGATGAAGTCAAGTATAAACAAATACTTCAATTGTGTACTTAAGAGCAGGTAGCCTTGAGTAAACACTGCTCCTTTAATAAAGCCATTGACATATACATTGCCTACTCTGCCCTTTAGTATGTCTACATATAACATCATGAGGTAACGCAGAGTGAAAAAGGGACGTACAGGAAGGCCATATCCTCAAAGCATCTCTCACAGATGCATGATGGGAGATTACCTATTATTAGCGTGGCCTATTGGCTTAAGGTGCTAGCTAATCTGAAGTCTGCTCCGACATGTAACAAGTTATTTGTGGTTTTGTTGTTGAGTGAGATGTAAATATATTATATATAGTATACATAAATAAACCTGGTGCTCAAAAAATAAACATACACTTAGGCTACATTTTGATTGCCTTTTCTTTTACTCTGCACTCTTTTCAGTTATTTTCCTTTATATTATGAGCATAACATTATTTTTTTCATGATATAAAATATGTAATTAACACGTTTGCATAATGAGCTTTTTGTAGTTTGACAACATCCCGACCAGAAAGGTGTGTTCAATGTGTAACGGTGCGTTCAGGGTAGGCTGGTAAATTACATCCTCTTTCCTGAACGTTGCTGCAAGGTAATTTGTAGTGTAGCCTACTTAAGTGCATATTGATGGTACTTTTTAAAATATTTTCTGCTACTGAGGAAAATATTGTACATTTTATTGCACTATTTGATAGTTAGTGAGATAGTGAGTATATGTATCAACAACAAAAAACACCTTTCATTTAGGAATACTCTCATGTCAACAAATAAACAAAAGTATTGCACAGAAGTAAAGAAATACGGAGTAAATATACATACCAACACGGATAAGAGATATTGCTAGAGAATATCTATATAATACAAGAGTTAATTTGAAGAATACACAATAATCAGAATCAGAATCAAGTTTATTGCCAGGTACGTTTACACATTACACTTTAAGCAAAAATGTGTATCTTTTACTTGAGTAAGATCTTGATTGCATAGTTATGAGCTACTTGTAGTGGAGTCAGGAGTGCTATATTATGGTGAGATACGATATGATAAGATGGACCTTTATTGATCCCTGTAGGGAAATGCAGGTGTTGTAGCAACAACGGAACAAGACAGAAACACAGATAGTACACATGGGATAATAAGAATAAGAATACAAAATAAAATAAGAATAACATTTAGTAATAGTATGAATAGAAATGACAACAATGACATGAGTTATACACACTATGTATAAAGGTTAAACATACATTTAAATGTGTAGGTAATCATACTTTAACTTTAATTCAATACATCATGCACCAGTAGATAGATGTGTGCGTCTCTGTTTTGATTTATTTTCAATTAAATACTTATTAAAATATGTTTATAATAAAAGCAACCTGCGGAAGTAGTTTGTTTTGTCCCCAAACGCTTCATGGGATTCACGCCTCTCTTACGTCACCCAGTCACTCCACATCAGCCTTGTGATTGGCTCTTCACACGACTGGGACGGTTGCGATTGGTTGCGAAACGAAGCAGAGAAACAGGAAGCCAAAGAAAAAAAAATCTTTTCAACTCAAGAGCTCATAAGCCTCTCGCTCTCTCTCACATTTGATCGTGTTCTCCTTCGTTACAGGTTGACGAAAAACTCCAAGCAACATGGGGTGCTTCTTCTCTAAAAAATCCAAAAGGAAGTCCTCGGAAAAAGATGAACGTACGCCCACAACAACGACCGTTGAAACTACGACGACGACAAACAGCTCGGTTCCCCTTGGCAACAACAGCGAGGAGCCTCCGAAGCAGTACAGCTGGGACAAGAGAGAAAAGGTGAAAACATGACATTTAACGTTAAATAAAATCATTAAGATGAATGAAATTATACCTTTTGGCACCTGGAATTCTTACCTAACAAAACCCAACAAGTGTGAGATGCTTAATGCCTTTTCATTTGTGTCATTAAGTCGTTTCCAGCTAGCTATTTAGAAAAAACTCGCGTGCAAGGGGTTTTCTCAGGTGTGTTGGTGCTTACATAAACACAGCGAGATACATTTAGATGTGAAATTAACAGGTAACACTGAAAAAAGACAATATTTAACCCTTATATGGACATTCATATTTTGTCAAATTAATTGATAGCAGTAACCTACAGCTGGGACAAGAGAGAAAAGGTGAAAACGTCATTACATTCTCAATACAGTCATGAAATTATACCTTTTGGTTCCTGGAAGCCTTACCTAACAAGTATGACACACTTAACGTCTTTTATGTGGTGTTATTAGGGGGTTTCCAGCTAACAATTTAGAAAAAACCCTCATTAGGTTCTCACACACAAGGGATTTGATCAGGTGTGTTGGCGCATATAAACACAGGGAGTTACATTGAGATGGAAATATGTGTAGTTATTTTAAGAAAGGACAATGCACATTCTTTAACTGTAGCCAGAGGCCAATTTTCATCTGAGGTCCCTGGCAGTTTGAAGGCATTTAAAGAAAACATACAAGAGCACATGAAAAACATATAAGCACAATTAACTCACGATTGCAGCACATATAAAGAACATTATACCCAGTTAAAATACCTTTTTTTAAAACCTTTTAACACGCGTTTATTATACATGCTGAGATCATTGCTTAACATCCACCTAATGCAATGAAGTACATCCTTTTATATTAATAAAAAAATAATTTAATATATAACACAACCTTAAATTGCTGCATTGACACAAAATAAAGAAAAATAGGTTTTTCATTTACAAGGATATTGTCTTGTTTGTGAAAATGTAAACACTAAGATACATTAAAATGTACGCTTTTTGTTACAGGTATGCAGAGGTACTCTAACAGTACTACAGTGTACAAATACTGAGTTTACAAAAATGTAAACTGAGTATTAAATGTTTACAAATGCCAGAGTTTTTTTCAGTGTTGGAGGAAGTTTTCAGATCCTTAACTTAACAAAATGAACACTAAGAGTGAAAGAGTATTACTATATACATGGTTAGATACATTGAAGTCAAAGTGAGGACGTATTGATCATTTTTGTAAGAAAAATATAAAGAATTATATATTATAAAATAAAAATTCCCCGAAAATATGACAAATATAATAAATAAAAAAATCACAATGGAGTATTTTAATAGTAAATGCAAGATACCAAAAAGAAGAAAAAGACCAATCCACCTCTCCATGTCTTTAACCAGGTGAAAGGCATTAGTATTAGAGCAAATGTAAATATTTTTTTGTATACATATGCTTTAAAGCTTTTTAATTTGTAAGTTTAATTCCTATTGATAATATTTGTCGTATTGAATCCATTAATCAGCTCGTTGGCTCTGAATCTGTCTCCATAACAGAGCCAAGCTCAACAGCATTTTATTACATCACCCAGTCTCAACATATTCAGCTTTGCGTGTCGACGGTTGCTTAAGTTGCATGCAACGCTCTGCTCGCGCCCCCCATGTATCCAGCTGGCGTTATCTCATTATGGGATTACAACACTGTTCACAGCTGACCACACAGAGCATGATGTATTCAGACTTTGTAGGCGCGGACTAGGTCGTGGTTCCACTTCCGTTTTTAGGATGTCGCCCTTTTTATTACAGTGGTTCACCAAAATAACACACGCATCAGTATCCGGTGTGTTGTCTAAAACTAGCTTAATGCCGACTGCAAGTTCACTTAGTCTGAAATATGATTAATTCTAGAGAAGAGAAACTACTGTAATGTTAGTGAAATGTAACAAAAAGAAGAGAAGACACGACGAATGAATGGTTTGATTTTAATACATTTATTCGTAAAGCAGTTTTAAAAATGGGAGCTCTTAAATTCTTTTTTTAACGGAGAGCATAATCTCAAAATTAAAAACAAAACTCAAGAACTGCAAAACAGAAGGACACTGTTCAAAGGGTGTTTAAAGAAACGTATCAAATTATCCAGAAAGTATAATAAATTCAACTTAAAATGTAGCTGGTAGCACAACAGAGCTTTATTATGTAAGCAGCTTATTCACTCTTACGTGAGTTGGATTTAAAGGGTCTCTATTATTCACATCAGTGTTTAGTGTCTCCGTGCTTTAATGTTCAAAAAGCTCTTTATTTCTCTCATACTGCCTGGGCTGCAGCACCTCTTTTCACCCTCTGTCTGAAACCAGATCCCAGTCTGCTCTGATTGGTTAGCTGGCCGGTTCTGTTGTGATTGGTCAACCGCTTAGAGATGTCCCGCCCCTTAGCCTATCACGTACAATGTGTTGGAGTGCTAGCCAATGTAAGTGCGAGTGTTACATAGTGGTGTCACTACGATCAGGAAGTAAAGAAAGCAGTCCGATTTGAGGCGTTTCAGGCAGGGGTGGGGGGGGGTGGTGAGGGAGGAAACACAGGGATCTTAGCCGTTGCAGACCATTTACATGCACAAAAACCTACAGAACACTACAGGAAAGGAAAAACCCCAAAAGCATAATAAGGCCTCTTTAATGTTTTCTACTGACTCGTACAAGAATATCTGCATGCTAAGTAGATGAAAACGTTGAAATATATCCGATACTGTTCTGTAAATACTGTCCATTGTCCTTTGACTGATGGCGCCCCCTCTCTCTGCTCAGGTTGACCCCAAAGACTACATGCTGTCGGGGCTCAAAGACGTGACGGTGGGCCGGCATCCGGGCAAACTGAACGGCCAGCAGTTTGTGATCCAGGACTGCGTGAACTGCAACATCTTCGTGTTCGACCACGCGGCCACCATCACCATCGACGACTGCGTGAACTGCCGGATCGTGCTGGGCCCCATCAAGGGCAGCGTCTTCTTCAGGGACTGCAATGACATCAAGTGCGTGGTGGCCTGCCAGCAGTTTCGCACGCGGGACTGTCAAAAGGTGGAGGTGTTCCTGTGCTGCGCCACACAGCCCATCATCGAGTCGTCCACGGGGATGAAGTTCGGCTGCTTCCAGTACTTCTACCCCGATCTCGCCTTCCACTTCAAGGACGCCGGCCTCAGCATCTTCAACAACAACTGGAGCAACATCCACGACTTCACGCCCGTTTGTGGGGAGAACAACTGGAGCCTGCTGCCGGAGTCGTCCAAGGTTCTGGATTTTGTGCCCGTCCCTGACCCAGAGTCTGAATTCAAGTCGGTTCGGATCTCGGGCGACCCTGAACGCAGCATCGTGCCTCTGACAAAAGGAGGCCGGCGTAAGGACAGCGATGAGTCCTGCCTCTTCGTGTTCTTCGCCGGGGAATACACCACCGCTAACGCCCGCAAGCTCATCGATGAGGTGAGGAGACGACCAATCAGTGTGAGGAGGCTCAGTTTAAAGGGATAGTGCTGGAGTTTGGAAGAGAGGTTTAATAAAGCACTTCTCTGTAGTCTCTGTATTACTGCATTAGATGCATTTAGTAGAAACAGACAGCAGGAAGCTAGGCATTGTCTGCCTGCCTGCCTGCCTACCTACCTACCTACCTACCTACCTACCTACCTACCTACCTACCTACCTACCTACCTACCTACCTACCTACCTACCTACCTACCTACCTACCTACCTACAAGATAAATTGGTGACATGTCTCCTTTTTTTACATAAAGTAATGACAGTTTTAATAATTGTTTAATAGTTAGTTAATAGTTTTTTTCTAATTATTTTTTTAATTAAAATACAGGTTATAATGAGACTGGTAAAACGGAATCAACGCTTTAAAACTCCAAAATTACACAATCTAACTTACCGAAAAAGGCATCAGTATTCCAGCAACTTCCTTTTTCCACAAGGTCAAATTACATTTATTTTTGAAGTAGCCTCTGGTCTCGTCTGGTGGAAATCAGAATAAGAAATCCTTTATTCATCTACTGTAGGTCTGTGTAGGACTTACTCGTAAAACCGTATTTATAATCCCACTGACTTTTATTACCACTAGATATGAAGTGCTAAACAAATGGAGGAAGTGTTTATAGTACGTACATGGAAACGTGGTGGTGGTGGTGGTGGTATCAGAGTTGACCTGCTGATAATACACTGATAACATCTGAGTGCACTCAGCCACTTCTTTAAAAGGTTACACAACTAATTAAAATAAAATAAAAACAGTGTTAACCAGCACAGCCTGCAGGATGTTTAACAACATATAACATATTATAAAAGATTAAATATGTGCGTACATGACTTTAAAATACAGATTGTGTCTGTCTGTTTGTCTGTCTCTCTGTCTGTCTACCTTTATACAGATTGTGACATAGTTATTTATGAATTAAAACATATTGACTTCATTAATTATTGTTTAATTTATAATATAGATAATTACAGATGCAAAGTTGAAAGGAGGGATCAAATGTCATTTTGATATATGTGTTTTATTCTTCCTGATCTTGACATGTTTTTATCACTTTCTTTGAGCTTGTACTGCTCAGTATCTGAAGCCTGCTGTTCTGCTGCTTTAAAATTCCTGTGATGTTTGTGTTGCTGCCAGAAAAATGCATGAGTCCATCACTAAAGCGTGTGTAGCAGGCGCGCTGTAATCCAGTTCATCTCCTCCGTGCAAACACCGCAGGAGTCTTGAAGTAGTTCTCTACAAACCTGCTGATCTTTTATTAAATAAGGTTTCCCTTCTCATTCGCTCAGATGACGACTAAAGGCTTCGTGCTGGTCCAGACCAAGGAGGTATCGATGAGACCTGAAGACGTGAAGAGGGTTTTCCAGAACAGTGCAGACGAGCTGGTGGACTGGATCACCAAAGGTAGGGTGGTACATTTGATCCAAGACACAACATAGACTATATCCAAAACGCAAGAATCCCAGTATTTCTTAAAGGCTGAATACGAGTTAGAATACATTTTGAATGAAGTATTGTCGTGCTAGAGAGATTGTTTAACATACTTAGGCCCAATCCCAAACCACTCCCTCGACACTACCCCTCCGTGACGGAGGGAACTCCGTCTGTAGCCACACTCGCAGCTCAACGAGGCTCCCTCCTGTCAGATGGAGGGAGTAAATACAGCAGCAAGCTTTGGGACGGCCTCCCCTCTCTCCGGCAGAAACAGGAAATGCCGTAACTGTATGTAACAACGGTTTCAAATCAGCATCTCTTTGACAAAAAATTTAAATTAATAACTCAGATAAAACTCCAAACATATTTCCTTGTGTTATTTTTTTGTAAAGCTCTTTTAGTTTTAAACCTGATTTTAAAGCATTCTTAGATTTTTGCACAGTCGTAAAT